ACAAAATAAGTTTCTACTCGTCGAGCGTTTTGGGACGAAAATTTTGAAAAGTTGCATCCCGTATTGCAAGACGTGTTTAGGCGAGGCTCGTTCCATTTTCCACGGTCCGACGTAACTTCCTGGTAGCGACGATGACAATTGGACCTCCTCGTAATTTCTTGCGCTAACTTTATGCCAGTTATTCCGGGGGGAGGAACGGCATTCCGGGCACGCGAGAGCCGCTGAAAGGACCTTCTCGCTTGTAAACGCGTCCTGTGTCTTGCGGGGGAATTCGTTTCCGGGCGGTCTGATAAATCGCGAACCGTCCGCGGTTCACGAGCAGCCATTTCCGCGTTAGCCTGGGTCAGGGGATGAGACCGTCCCGCGCTCGAAAAACCAACAATACCAGACCCGCCTTCAATGGGACATAACCGTTGCGCGACATTAATTATCCGAGAATCACAATTGCGTCGACCATTATATCCGCGAACCGGAAAATTTCGCGAAAACCGCGGGTTAAATGTTTTTCTTTTTTTTTTTTGGAACGTCTCTCGAAAGCTGCAAACCACCGAGATTATTTAAGGGGACGCTTACACTATTTGCGCAACATTTACGCGACCACAGAAAAGCCCCAAGTTCTTCTCGAGTATAAAAAAATCCATCTCAAGACGTTCGTCTCGTGAAATAATTTCCAGACAAGTTTGATCAATGATCGAGATTTTTCCAACACTTCGTGGTTCATCAGAGATTGGACGAAAGCAATCAGGATTCCCGTTTCGAGCCATCGACCCGGACGACGTATTTTAAGGACATTGAAATCAGCCATGCGCGTCCTTTTCGACGTAATTGCCGAAATTCCCGTTAAACGAAGTCGTCGGTAGACGCGCGCGGAATGTCTGTCTCGGTTGTAATAGTAATTGCCGTGTATCCTGATGGTTATCTCTTTGGCTGGATTACGCGCGTCCGAGTGACATCCCGGCCGCGGTACGTACGAATTAATTTCGCCGGCAAATATTTGATGCGACGGAATTAATACTCCGCGGACCGTCGTGTTTATTAATTACGATCTTCAATATTGGTACGTCTCAAACACGGAAAGTTCAACCGCCGGTTCCTGCAACAGCGGCGCGTTACAGCCGAGCGTAGACGCATCGAATCGTTTAGGGACGACGAAAGTTTCCACGTTCGTGACCCCTAGACGTCGCGGAAGTTACACCCCGGGATCTAACAATTAACTTGCTCGAAAAGTTGCGACCAGGAGAGATAGAAACGTCTGGCCGCGTCGTTAAGTAATTTCGACGTTTCTCGGGCGTTCGTTCTCGTCAACTCCCTCTTAAGAGGCCTTCTAGCGCGAAACGCAAGAAACCTGTCGCTTATTCGCGAATTTCTTTCTCGAGCTGCCCGCCGGTAATTGCTTTCCCAACTGCTCTCCACGTTTATTTATACATATTTCCGAGAGAGAGTCCTTTTTCGAATCGCCCGCCTCCCCGGTTCATTGATCTTTTTTTTTTTCTTGTTTTTCTCTTTTTTCTTCTCTCGTGGAAATAAAATATACCGAACAGGTCAGATATTTTTAATCCAGCGTTTCGCGTAACGTTACAAACGGTCGACAGTCTGCGAGGGTATAAAATAGACAGCTGTCACACATACGCGGCGGTCTGTCATGAAAATTGGCGCGTCGTGAACGCGTGTGGAAGCGAACGTGTTAATGAAAACGCTATTGAACGTCATCTACACACGCGCGTGGTATCTACGTTCATCAAATTTGCTGGTCGGAGGTTCAACAATAAAAAAAAATAAAGCTGGAAGCTTTCTCTGTAGAGCCAGTTGTAAATATAATATAATTACGAGAAAGAAAAAAAAAATATTTGTCGGTCTCGTGTTCGTTCCCGTAATCATACCCCATTCGTTAGGAATTATTTTCATTTGAACGAACCACTTTTTTCCAAGTTTTTACGCAACGATAGTAGGAGAGCTATTTAACCCCCCGGTCGTATGTCGTAGCCACTGCTAACAAACCCCATAATTCACCGAAGAATTTTCCGCATAAATAATAGTCCGCGTTAAAGCTCCTCCGCTGTTTATAAAACATTCCACATACATTACGGGCGGGATATTTTGTTCTGTTAAAAACGGAAGGAAGCACGCCCTCGGCGCGGTATAATAAATTTGAAATTTATACTTTCTCTTCCTTTCTTGTTCGCCGGGCGTTTAATGTTCCTATAGACTCGGCGGTTGTATTCGACACCAGGAAAACGAGCTTTCTTATTTTTTACGCCGACGGGTAATTAAAAACAATCCGTTCGAGGCTACGTCAACTGCATTTTTCACCTTACGTGCATTTTTAGAAATTAATTCGAACCATTAAAAATGGCATGGAAGAGGCTCCGCGTATGAAATTCTAGCAACGGCGAAGATATTAAATTTCTGAGGTAGCCAAGATATAATTATTCGAAGGATTAATTACATTATGCCATTTTAATTGACAGTCGTTGCTAACGATCACATTCGCGGAATTTATACTTTATTTATACTTATTTATACTTTTCATACATCTTTTTAAAAGATAAGGGAGGATTTTGCATAGTTTAACGCATCGTTTCGTTATCGTTTGACGCGTAATTTTCAATACACGAATGTCTGTTGGAACGTCCGTCGAGAAGACGACAGCACGACACGTACGTTTCGATCTTTCTGGGTCTTGGAGCTTCCGCGGCACGCTGGTACGTTTCGAACGTGACGCGAAAGCTCGACGGGAGTCGACCAAGTTTGCGTACGCACGTTCGAATTCCTTACGAGAGTATTTATTTACGCACCGCGGCGAATCGCTCGGTCGAGAGTTCGCTCGTTCGTGCGAGAATCTCGATAAAACTCGTTTACGCGACGTCCGATCGATTTCGAGAAAAAGTTCTTCTCCTTTTACATTTTATTCGAACGTTTAACTCTGAATTTACCGATTTTTGTTTCACAAATAACCCAATTTTATCGCACATCAGTCGTATAATCGATAGGAATTGCTGAAAGTTCTTTTTTTTTTAAATAAACACAGAAGACAGTATAAATAATAATAGCTTTTAGGTTCGTTGGATAGGGGATGAAATGCCCTTTAAAATGAGCGTTTGTACGAGTCGATAGCGTAATTAGTTCCGGAGATATGAGGATTTCAATTTCAAGTCGATCGGATGAGACCGAAGCGCTTGTTTACGTCGCGAGATCAATGAACTTTCTTACTACGGCCTTGTCAAGGTCGTTGACCGCACGTGCTCGTAGTAAATAGTAAACGTGACGTCACTCGGTCACTCGGTCAGTGGGTCAACGTGCGACAAGGAGGTCCGAGCGCGACGCGTCAGACGGAGACAGAGATAGTTCAAATTAGAAAAATTACCTTTCACATAAATTACGATATCTCCGAAACGATAAGTCCGATCGACAAAAACCAAAAAGCATTTTAAAGGGGATGCTCTGCCGCTTCTACCAGTGGCTCGATAATGGATAAAACACTAACAGTTTCGGAACTGCGTGTGTGTAAAGTTGAACTATTTTTAATACGTGTTGTTAAGCTATTCTAAGACAGTGGTCATTGAAGATTCTCTCGCTTTATAGCATCGCTAACATAACTAAAAGTTTACCAATGTCAGATTAAGTTCTCGCAACGAGACGGAAGAACCACGACATTCTGTATAATACAAGTCGAGGTACTTGGACACTTTCGGCCTCGAGTTCCCGCAATTTTTAAATCTATTCTTGTATAGTTTGGTTCTAATGCACGTTCAGAAGCAATTGACCTCTCGTGCTCGCCAGGCATCGGAACAAGCGATCCATTTCCGTCGAGTTTCCAGGAAGACCGGGCCTGTATTTTCCTTCCGCTATCCGGGAAACGTTCCGCGTCGAAGATAAACAAAGAACGCGGAATACCCCAAACAGAAGCAATCTGGATTCATACTGTCTGTCGGATAACTGTCTATCGACTATCCGTCGATTCATTCTTCGGAGGGTCTTTTGGACGGATCGATGATGGATGGCGCGAATATCCCCGTGCAAAATCTATTGAAAAATGTTTCGACGGACGGCTGCCGGTCGCGTCCAAAATTTGAATAAGATTTCTAAAGCTACCGGATCTCCAATATGGACGTGACTTGCTCGCTATCCGTGCCAGGGAATACGAAAGCGAAATCCGTGTGAAAAATCTACATCGTACTAAAATAATGGTTAACACTCCCTCGCTTCTTGCATGAATCAGAGATGACCAAGAAAAATATTTGTCGTGATGCACGATCACTAAGAGACGTATGTAGTTCACTGAATGTCTATTTTTTGATCTTTCGCCCGTGTTTTCGTGATTTTGGACCAACGTGCGTCGCTTGAAATGATCCGGAATCGGGGTCGTTTGCGCGGCACGAAAGCACGAAGTTTGCCTAAAGGGTGGTGGGCTTTGACGAGCGCCCAGCGTGTCGAACACGGATACGCGCGTATCGGTTTCCGATCAAGTATATCTGCTTACCAGTGAATTGGATCAAAGGCCGTGCAATTAATCTGACGTGCCGGCTGTTGCCGTCGAAATTCCTTTTCCCGCGACTCCCGAACCCTTTATTTATCGCGACTACAGATATCAATAACGCGTGTTCGATCCGTCCCTGATTCGATCATCCGACTCGAATTTTACGATTAATTGCATTCCAGCCGAACGATCGAGAGCTTCCTTTCTTTCCCATGGATCCCTGGTTCGCGTCCTGCAACCGAACAAACATCGTAATATTAAAAATAAAATACACGGTGATCGATTAAAATTTATTCTGATATTGTCCCCTCGTACCATACAATTATTTTTATAGAAAAATCGAAGATATCGTTGTCTTTACTTTATACAGTAAACAATATCAGGGATTTTCTTTTAAGAAAGAAAACAGGGATGTTCGGGATCTCGACCCACTCCAAGCCTAAGGTGAGCTTTCTCAAAGCATCTTCCGATGTCCCGAAACTACCAAAGCGATGGGAATCTCGTCAGGATCGTTTCACGTACCTTATTGTTTGGTCGCCTCGCGTTTGTCGACGTCCGAGTGAATGTCGCATTGAACTTTAACCGACTTCGAGTCCGCTTGCTCCAACGAGGCGTGCACGCTGTTCTGGATCACGTGTGGCTTGAAGCCGGTGGTGAAGAACGGCGTCAGCAGCTCGACGGGCAATGGAAAGATGATCGTGGAATTCTTCTCGGCGGATATGTTGCTCAGCGTTTGCAGGTACCGTAGCTGCTGGCAGGGAAAGCAAGTGAGGAAGCCGGGTCTTTCTCGCGACACTGGATTAATTTTCAATTACGTAGCGCGGCCCCCCTTCCCGACTTTCTTCATTCAGAACGTCGACGACGAGATCTTTTAATTAGAGACCCGGGTAATTGCGAAACTAATTGTGCCATCTGTATGGTTATACAGAAGCCGGGGTAGTGCAATTGAAAAGTTTCCAAAGAACATCAATTAAGAGAAACGAACGATTTTCAAGTTTACCAGCAACCTCGTCGACTTGGGACAACCGACTAATTTCTGGTGAACTAATTCGATGATTCGATCAAGTCAAATATTTCAGATATTTCTCCGATGGACGGCAATGTATTATTTTTCGAAATCGATCGGGAAACCATAGCGATCTCTGCGAACCGGAAGAAGTAGACGTTTTGTCGGAATATCGGGAATATCTCGGGAATTTCACGGGATGGTCAGGATGGAACGTACCTGAAGGGCTGCTGGACTCATGGAAATGACATCGCTGGCCTCTTTCAGAGCACGGGAAGCCAGCATCTCTCCTTCCGCCGCAATCACTTTTGCCCGTGCCTCCCGTGTAGCTTCCGCTTCCGTGGCCATGGCTCGTTGCAGCTGCACCGGAAGTCGAACGTCCTTTCTAAATCAGGGAGCATCCGTTACGTTTCGTTCCGTCAACTTGCCCTCTGTGTCTACCTGTGTACACACAGATGGCCACGTACAGGGTGTTTCACGATACGCGGCGACGTACACGAAAACGGTGCAGAATCGAAGCAGACATTTCGGAATCGAGAAAGAAACGGTAGTCTCGTTGCACGTCGGAATTTCTTAGGGGATCGACGGTAAATGGTATAATTTCGCAATTCCTTTACATTTTCATTAAAAATCTCACCGTGAGCCACCTCCGAAAAAAGGTACCCCGGGTTACAAGATACATTATTTCGGAGTCGAAAAATCCAAGGGATCTCATAAATATGCAAAGCAGCGCGGAACGGAGCCCGGTAAAATTAAAAAGGGCTCCGGGAACGAATAAGGCGGGGCGGTTTTTGTCGACTCGGACGGGAAACAGGATTTCTGAGAGGCAAAAACAACGCGAATGCGTGCAACTACTCGTTCGATGGTCGTTTCGAGTTACGGCGAAGCGCGCAACTTCCTCGAGACGTTTCGGCAGACGCGGTCGGAAAAAAGATTTAGTCGTTTTACGTTTCTTTACCGATGACCTCGTTCTTCGAGGGAAGAATACGAGCGATCGTTTCGAATTCGACGTCGCGACAGACGACAGACTCGCGTCCTGGGGACGACGCAAAGCGACGCATCATCTCCGACTGTTGCAACGTAGCATGCTTCGAATTGCAACTCACCGTTTCCGCCTCCTGCGAATTCCGTTCCTTGTTAGAGCTGTTCCATCCAATTATTGTCGCGAGGAATTCGCGAGCAAGATCTAACGTTCGTAGAGAGATTATGGTTTTGTGTGTATCATCATCTATTACACGTTTATCAGCGTACAATTAAAGTTGGAATACGCTTTGGTCGTCGTGGATTTTCTATGTTCTATTCTCGATTGATTCTTGATTGTGGCGACCCTCGATCCCCTTGTAAATCCAATATGGCTCGCGTATCCGAAAGATTTAAAAGCCCTTCTCGCGAACGAAGGGCGTCACGAGGACTCGACAAAGTAACCCTTCGATATCAAAAGGCTCGTCGAATTCTGGCGGATCGCGGGAGGGTCGCGTGGCTGTAAATTCACGCGAAACCGCTGAAATCGGAGTTATGCGGCGTGGAACGTCCGGGTTTCGCGCCGCAAACCCTTTAATTTAGGAAGTTAACCGGTACCGGTCGAAACAATTTTGACGTTGTTTCTCACGTTTACGCGCAACTATGCCGGGAGCGTATGGCGGGTGTGGGTGGCGTTCCAAAAATTTCGCGATTACCGCGTCCTCGTTTTCGTCGTGCTCGTGCATTCAAGGGTGGTTTTTAAGTCGAGGGAAAAAGTGTGGCTTTCCTTGAGCCAGTTACACTCGACCAGAATAAAACTGTACTTCCTTCGCTAGGCGTTGGCCATTTTTTAAGATAGGAGGATCTCAAACCCTCCCCTTTTTGGTATTCGATGGTCTAACAAAGGTGAACTTTACGTTCAAACCACTCGTAGATCATTCAACCCTTCGAGCTTTAAGAATTTTTTTATTTTTGTGGGGCTATTATTGAAATGTTAAAGTTCCTCGATTCCCAGAAAATTGTTAATTTGCGTTCGAAGACGCATGGCGGGGCGATTGCTCGCGGGAAACCAGAGTCACGCGCAACAGCAATAATTCTCCATTTTACGTCCGTGTAAACAAATGTAGCGTGAAGCATTTAATATATTTTACTCGAACAATACATAGTTGAGAGCACACGGTACATTGAATAAAATTACTACAAATGTACCGTGGACTGTGGCGGTCGGTTTTCCGACCGAACGGTGGCAGCGAATGTTTTAACCTTCTGTTGCATAATGCTTCCATTAACAAACGTAATAAAAACAGTTCCTGCGATGTTCATCGATTAAATTTTACGCGACTCCCGGGCTCTCTCAACGAGCGTAACGGTTTACATTCGATTTAGTTTTTTCCAAAGTTTCACGTGTTTCGGACACCTTTCGCTTTTTGTCATTACAATTTTCCACTCGTCTCGAACAGACGTTCCAAATACTAAAAAAAAAAAAGGAAAGTTTAAAGCGTCGCTCTGGGATTGCGTAACGTTTGTGAAACCCGAACGAAAGCCGCGAAACACTCGTTCTACGCGGCAGCGTTGCGTTTCAGTCAGAAAACACGAAATAGTTTGTACGTAACGTCTAAACTTCGATGCACCACCGAGCTGAAACATTGCCAGGGCCCTGGGAGACCACGTACGAATCGTTGAATCCATCGTTTCGCGTATTTCGAACGCCGTTATCGGAGTCGAACGCGGAGCACCGGCCACGGGGAACCCCGGTCAGGTTGGCAGTATGTAAACGTGGCGGAGCACGAACCGTTCCCTTCGATGTCCCTTCGATGCCCGCCTAAAGAGCCTCTTTGGAGAGCACTCGAGGTTTTTTTTCGGGCTTTAGAAGCGCGCGACAGCGATGTCTGGCTATTGGAGCGCGCGAAGTCGTTGCACGTCGAGACCAGAGGGCTCTTCTTTTGTAGATAGCTTGTCGAGGGGTCGATGCCATACTCGCCCGTCCGCATTTATGCACGTCCGCGTATATCCGCGTGCACCTTTGTGCGTGCAATACCATCCACCGACACTCTTCGTAACACTATAGGGTTCTCCACACAACGGCACGTGAGAATAAATCTCGAGGAGACGCGGGAGTCTTTTATTAAATATCCTAAATCCGCTTATTCTCTAACCGAGTAAAATTAAACGCGGTATAAACATGGCTGACCAAACGTGCTCGATGCACCTGGATCGAAGACCGAATTAATTTGCTAAAATCTGTAAGGGTCGTACGTGAAACTTCCCCCAATCGTTTCTAATTATTAGAAATCCGACGTCCAGCAAGTTCTCGTAGCACTCGCAAACGTACGAGTTTCGATACCGTGTTTCACCAAGTACCGGTGCAAGTACATCGAATTCAACGTGAATTTCGCGGAGTTTCGATACGTCCGCAGCCAAACGATACTTAAACATCGAATTAATTCCGATCCTCGAGCATACATTGGATCTGATCGAGTTATCAGGCGGTAATACCGATCGATTGCAAATTGGAACGCGACAACGAAGAAAAAAACGATCGGCGGTGAAGGAATTTTTTGAAATCCGGTACAATAGGAGGCTGTTGAACGACTCCGTCGGGACGCGTCTCGATCACGGTTATATTTCACCGTGAATTTTTTCAACAAGCTCAATGGAACGTAACCGTTGCCGACGATAAGCTCTCCTCCGCGAGAAACGATATTTATCGCCGTATACATCAAACGTTTGATCGTCTCGCAATGATCGATCGGTTTCCTATTCACCCCACGCGGAGAGCGACTTTCGATTGTATTTACTTTACTGCAGCCTCGATTCTCCATTTTCCGCGCGATGCTTTTGATTCCAAACAGCAATCGTATCCTCCTGCTTCGACACAGAGTTTAAATCGTGCAAAAGAAGAGCTTGTAATAGACACAGATGGTGAATCTCCAAGGAAATTGAGCTTAGGACCGCGAAAGCGGAAGGTTCGAGCTTTGGTTTAAAAGTAGCTCCCAGGTAGATTGTTGGATCGATCCAAGGATCATCGATATGCACTCACATTTCGACTCGTTCGACTTTGACGCCCCAAGGATCGGTGGCCTCGTCGAGGGATGTCTGCATAGTGTGAGAAATGTTCTCCCGTTCTGACAGGATTTCGGCCAAGCTCCTCGTTCCCAGGACCGTTCTCAGCGTGCTGGCAGCCAACAGGCGGGTGGAGTGACTGAAACGCAACGAGCGTACGGTCCGGGTTTGTTCGTGTTTGAATGACCGAAATGCGTCAAATGTTGATACAGGCCCGGGGGGAGGGGATCGGGTTTGCCGTTACGATAGCGAAAAATAATTCGCCAGGGACCTTTATCCCTTTCCCTCTATGCACGCGGCTCTTTGTTCCCGAGTTTGCAATCGACTCTTTGTTTTTTTCGAAACGCGCACCATTCGGTCCGTTAAAGGTAAGCTTTTTGTTTTCGAAACGCGCGTCGTTTTGCTGTGTGGTTTGCAGTTAATGGTTTACGTTTCCGAATCGGTAACGATCGGGTTTTTTGTTGCCGTTCGCGTGACGCTCGTGCGTTTTACACGAAATGGAATTTAAAAATGTGCCCCGCGTTCGACTGTTTACGCCGATTGTCTTTTACACGCCGGTCAAAACTCTCTTCCATTATCTCGGACTTCCGGGTCCATTTGGAAGTCACGCTGTTCGATAAATAATTTCACAAACGTCCATGGAAATTCAGATTCGGGGCAAAACAGCCCCGGGCATATAATATATTTGAAAAATCTCGTTTTCGTCGAGTGAAATGAACGTTCACCAACGGTTGGCAATTTTTTAAGGGATATTGGCCCGGCGGTGGACGTGTTAAGCGTCAAGTATTACTCGCGCAAGACGCGTTAAGCGACTCGGAGATTATTACCGCGTACCGTGGGTCGCTTTATGCTCGTTGTTTCTCGCCCAGTAATCTAATTTCCGTGGCACCGGAGCTGGTAAAACGCGCGACGCCGTTTTCGCGAGGACGAATTTTTCGTCGCGTACGGAAGAACGCAACGTTCCCGGCGCAATTACTTTTCGCCGGGAGTTCATCGAATTTTCTGGCCGGCGACATAAATACGCGTATAACTTTAATTACGCCCGCCGTCTTTCCCATAATTGAACATCGGGCCCCGGCGCGCTCTAGTTAATTAAACGTCCGCCGGCTCGAGCAAGCTGTCACGCGTGCGGCTTAAAAACGCACCTACGGAACCCGGCACGTTGGCCAGCCTGTTCTCAGCAGACAATAAATCCAACGGGTCAGCGGTTTTCCACTTCCAACCTTTCGTTCTTTTCTTTTTCTTTTTATTCACTTTTGCTCCGATATAAAATTTGGCTGGATCTTCACCCCCCGTTCGAGCAATGATCGATCTCCGAGCAAACGAAATCACGGAGGTTTTTTATACAAGCGAAAGGAATATTTTCGCGAAACTTTCGCTCGAGGGATGGAAAAAAAGCAGATGGTCCATCGAGGGTGGCGGATCGAATCACGAAACTTGCATCGTTCGAGGCCGGTGAGTTCATTACCGCGGGTCTCCAAGTTGATCGCGCAACTTTTACGCAATTAATCGGATCCTATGCACCGACACGAATCACCCAAGTAATTTTGTCACGCTCTCGCAACTCCTCGACCTGCCCCCCTTCGCATTTTTCTACCCTCGTAGTCGATTCCCTCTCGAGACGATGTCGTCTCTCGAAACTATACGGCATCTGTGATGCTAATTAAAATTTCAGAAAATCGTGTCCATGTTAATTAACCCGGCCACGCAAAGAATTCCAATTAATCCACGGTGTCTTTAGAGCGCCTCGAGGTCCTGTGTTGCTCGTTCTTAATTCAACGTTCGCGCGAGAAATGCAAAAAGGAAAGGGCGTCGTCGCCTTTCCCGGGAAAGAAACGGCCACCGTCGTCTGGGTTTATTAACTCCGTTATTCCGCCGGCACGGGGCCGTTCGCCTAACTAATTTCACCGAAAATTCTGACGAGCTTTTCAGTCGCGCGAACTTTCGATTCGGCACCGCGGCGCCGCGAAAAAATTGCGCGACTACGTCGCGACGTCCCCCGTCATTTCTCTCGTACCCGTCTGAATCGAGAGAATGGCCGGCCGGCTATTCAAACGACCCCCATTTCTCCTCCTTTCCTTTTCTTCTGTTTCTTGCCAATTTTTTTCGATCTACTTCGAACCGACGCGAGATTGCCTGTTCCGACCCCCGTGGAGCATCTGCGAAATCTCTAACGCTTTATTACAAATTTCCATGGTACAACCACACGATTAACAGCGAAAGATTTTATTTATTAGAGGCCCCTAAACACGTAATAAAATTACTCAGGTGGGAGGAAGCGGAGTGTAGTTTACCTGTAATTGGCTATCTTGACAACAGCGTTCAGCGGTTCCTTTATGCGATAGTAAACGACAGCGTCGACGCTGACGGTAACAGAGTCCTTGGTGAGAACTTCCTGTGGAGGGACGTCGAAGGACACGGTCCTCAGGTCGACTCGAACGCAGCTATCCACGCACGGCATCACGAAAAACGTCCCTAAGGAAGCTAAGTTTATTCCGGATGTCCAAAAACCAGAGGTTCTAATTTTTATTCAATCGATAACGAGTGACTTAAGCAAAAGGGGGTTGTTTTAATTGTGGACAAGTGTAATGGCTTGTATAATTCCTTATATCATCTTGAAACGCTCTCTGAAAGTACCTGGACCATAAGCACTATCCTTCAGGCGACCCATTCTGAAGACAACGGCCCTTTCGTACTCCTGTACGACCTTGAACGTAAAGCACAGGGAGAACGGGAACGTGACGAGCACCAGGAGGAAGGACCCGATGGTGGCCAGGACCTCGATCAACCTCGTCATCGGGCCAGCTTTGTACTCCCCCGCCATGTGCGAGCTAGGTACCCTGGATTCCTCTGTTCCATCAACAGCAAAGGGATTAAAGCAACCCGCGAGCAACAAAGAGAAACATTTCGAATTGAACAAGCGTCGGTGGGAGATTGCTTTCGAAAATATTCGATTCCTTGGACCGGAATGAGTAATTAACGAGCGTTCGAGGGTACGATTTGTCATTGGTTGCACGGTTGGGGATTTCCTTCGCTCGGCGGACCGTGTGGCTCTTTTGTTCATCCCCGCGGGCAAAAGCAATCATGCAAAGGCTTTTTACGCGGATAGCCGTCGGTAAATTGCGCGTGAAATGGAACGTCTGTCGGGAGAAAGTAATCCGTCCGCTGTCCGACGACAGCTTTTTTCATTAATTTCATCTTACGACGTTCTGGTAGCGTTCTCTCGTCGCTCCTTAAAATCCAGCGGCGTCGGAACGCGCACTGTTAACGAACAGATTGCCAATTTTATATTCCCTGCGCTGTTTTAGGTTTCTCGTTGTTTATAGTTTTTTATCGATCGCCTTCGTGTCGATCGGAAGTTTCTGCAGACACTTATTTCGAAGACTCGTCGAATTGGCGGATAGAGTTACGGTCTGCTTGCAAAATCTGGCGAGTCTGTTAGATAAACGATTGGTCGAAACACGCGTGGGCGTTCTGGCGGATACTTGGAAAAGTTATTTGTATAATTTCAGCTTCGAAACAGAGACGTTGAAACGAAAGTATTTCTGATCACGGCACGAGCGGCGATCGTCAAATCATTTACGTCATCGAGTGTAAAAAAAATTGTACAATCTCTTCTCTGGCGTTTAACCCATTTGCATCCAAGCGCGGAATATTCCGCGAGCCGCGACTGTCTACTATCACCAAGCGCGGAATATTCCGCGAGCCGCGACTGTTTACTATCGTCAGTTGAACGTCGCCGATGTTTCGATGCGGAAGCTTAAGTAGAGCGATGATGCAAATGGGTTAATTTAAATAAACGCGAGCCTAAGTTACGTTATTGTTTCTGTAACGGGCGACAAAAATGGCTCGATACGTCTATTAATTAGTACCGAAATGATCGAGGCAATGACTCGACAGCCGCTGTTTGGACTATTACCGATCTAGCGTACTACTTTTCGGTGAGATTTGTCGAGCAACAGGTTGGTACGTCTGCGGGAAAAATAACGTACGACAAATCGATACAACTATCGTCGCACTGTCGTGGAGAATCGTGAGATAAATTGTTGAGTGCGTGGTTTATATCTGTGGCTTTTAGCTTTTTTCTTTCGGAGATCCATTCCCAGAATTACATTTTTAAGAATTAGTGTTAAAAGTCCCCAGGAGCTCGGATACGACCGTCCAGGATTAAAGCTTGCATGGATAAGCTTTTTGCAAAGACTCCAATTTCGAGATTCCGAGTTAAACTCCAATTCTACTAAATTTTCTGTTCTAAAATTAACGACTTCATCCTTCGTCTGCATTTTTAATACAGCTTATACTAAACTGAGAAGGTTCGGGGTTCAAATTCAACGCCACTGAGATGAAAATAGTTAAAGGAGTTCGATTTTCATATTTATCTACAGATGGGCAATATTTTAGTTATCGATTCTACTTGGTTGATTCTTACAAAATTAATGAGTTAATTATCTCAAACACTGTGCCAGTTTAAGCCACTTTTCTATGCAAGGGCTCGAAGAAAAGAAACTGTAATTAGACCATTTTACTTCTACTTCCCACAACTAAACTCTTCCACCAAAGAGTTTTAATGCTGGTAATATTGAATCATTGATTTTCCATTTAAAGGGGTTTTAACTGCTACACCAGGGAGCTCATTACCTTAATTGCTTCAATCATATCATTTCCATCCCATAGTCTTCTTGTACGCTTCATTAAAGGTGAAATGCTATGAAATATATGTACTAGTATACAGGGTGTTCCATCTAACTCGAACTTTCTCTTGATTCTCGTATTACTTTAACATGTAATAGCAATGATTGCCCACCTGTAGGTAAACCCTCGGAAAAAAAGAACACTAACATCGTATTTATGTTTTGGGATTAGGGTCGTAGACCACTGCAACGCTGTGCTGCCATTCGACACACCTGCGCCGTATGACAACTTGTACAACAACCCTGTGCACTCTACAATATCTACCCTCTTGCGACAATTGCACAAATTACTGTACGATTTAGTAGATCCTGACCGAAACGAGTCAATATCGCTCTTTTTGAGTCGAATACTTTTAGTTATTTAGACTTTCATTCTATGTCAAAAGTAATCACACGTAGTTCTGTAAGTTGGGAGTACTTTTTTATCATCCTGTGTCTTCTATAATCTATCGCTATTTTAGAGTCATCGATACAGGGTGATTCTTTAGCCAGTAGACTCGAACGAAGAGATCAATGTTGCGACTGTTGCAACGCAGAGGATTCTATTTGTAACGGAGAAAGACTGAACGTATATGGGATTATCTACGCGGTGTTCAGGCATTATTTTCGAGTCTAGCGACGATAGAATCGCCCTGTAGAACGGTATCGAGAGGTATCTCACTGAACTCGACGAAGCACTCGACTCCACCGCTGTCGGTCTTTGTGCATCCGTAGTGTACCATGCCGCGGGAATAATTTCTATTTCCCTCCTCGATCTTCCTCCCTCGGTTACCAGGTGGTCCAGGTGCAAACGACGAGAACCAATAACAAGGTTGGCTAAATTCCTCCGGATCTCCTATCTTATCGTTGGTACCCGGACGAAACGAGTCACGCGAACGCGAAATAAGCTATCGAGTTCTGTCGTCCGACTACGAAATCACCGGTGAACACTGACGAGACACTTGGGGAACTCCGGGTGGATCCATTCGGACGCGATAAAATTTTGTAATGTTTCTCATCGAGACGCGAGGTTAGTGAAAGTGGCGAGGGTGTCGGGTCATCGATGGGGGAGAACTAATCTGGCCACGGCGGAGGCGACTCGGTTACTAAGTCGGCAACCAGGAAGACTCGCGAATCGGGGGGCGTAGCGAGCGATTCGGCTACCATAATAGCAAGCAGTATGGTTCGACAGGCTTGCGGATCGCGGAGCAGCCGCCGCGACGTGACGAGAGACGCGTCCGGCACGGTTTGTCCCGGTCGTCTGATTGATACCGCACGCACGGACCGCACCACCGCAAACCTATACCAAATTAACCGTAGCCGCAACGCGCGAACGTGCACGCTGTTTACGCGCAAAATGAGTGATTGGTCACTAAACGCTACCAGCGGGGCGAATTTACCCGGAAAAAAGCCAAACCATCCGCGAAGTTCGAGGTCTGGCGCTTCAAGTTATCTTTCTTCACGAAAATTACCGTGTTTAGAAAAAAAAAAACGAAAGATAATTTGTACAGTTTCCTCGTGGGCAACAGGACCGTGTATATCAATTTTACATATTTATATTACACGTTTGAGAAACGAAAGACAGATTTTGAACATTAGGATCGGTCATCGATCGACTCATTTTTGCAGGAAACAGAGATCATTAACCCTTTTCTCTGCACGTTTGTTTCAACTTTTGCGCACACGGAGCGGATTTATGCGGCGATCGTAAATTCCTGTTCGGCGAAAATTAAAGTAAAACGAATGACTTTTGAAGGCCCCCGAAGTTGATTTAACGCGACTTGGTCAGGGAAAATAGTAAAAGCTCCGCTGCTTTCGAACGATATACAGGTTTTTTTTACGACTCGCCATTATTTATTACGGTTATTTATAACCATTACAACGATTAATATCCATTTTATCGATTTATCCGACTATAACAAATTCATAGGTACCAATCGTTATAGGTAGAATATATATCAACCTACTCTGATGAAAAACTACCTCGATTATACTGTGTTCGACGCTGTTTTAGACAAGCCCCGCGGAATGCGGGGGCAATTTATGGTTTACGAGGTATAATTCGTACCGCGTTTTATGCCCGCGGTAACGAACTCGACGCGAATACACCCGGCGACGTAAAAAAATAATGCTGCAATCATTCTCGACGCGTTCTTTGTAATATCTCTAAGGGACGATCGTAGAAATCTATCCCCCTTGCATCTAAATAGAATCACAGAGGGTATCGACGCGAAAGCAATTTATTTTTTGCATCTTTTAGATTGCTCGAGCTTTAAACCACGTTTCAAAATAGTTGTGGCGAGGTTTTCAGGCCAAATATTCCACTGTGTAATGTTACAATCCATCCGATCCAAGTATCTACATCCGCGAATAGACGCTAACATGAACGGTGCTGTCGTTTATCGAGGACCAGGTCAAATGTTAACATTTTCCCCCAAGTCGACGACTCCCAGTTCTGTCGATCTCAATTGTCGTGCCAGTTAAGCAACCTGGTGTAACCTAATTACTTCAAATTTTCAGGACACATCATCGTACTATCAGAGCTCAGAATCGGAATCTTTTCGTTTCGAAACGCAGAGCTAAGGGGACCAGAGTGAAATTAGGCTAAAACAATATTGTTCGAGCAAACGTTAATGGAAGTCCGTGGAACGAATTAAGAAAGAAAAAATAAAGCAGTGGTGGATTAAAAGGAACGCGGCGGTGCAAGTAGACTGTGGACAGCGTCGAGTAATTTTGCCTTATGAAGAGGCTGACTATAACGTCTGGCCCAGTACGGCTCGGACGGGAGCTTTTTTACCCCGAGAATACTTGTGTACAGGACATATAATTGTCGCCATAAATTTCCCTTAACATTTCAAGCGTCGGTGGGGAGTCCGGACCGTTTCCCCAAGTTTAAAACAGAATTTAATATTTGCTCTCGCTTCCGTCGCGTTCTCGTAACAAAGTCCCTTAAAATACGAAGAACTTTTAGGCATCGGGAGACAACCACCTGGACAATAAGACGAAGCTGTAGGTTCGTAACGACAGGGAGCTTGAACACCGTTGATTTTAATTCGCGCGCATATTTTTCCATAAATTTTCTTTTACGGCCCGTCCGCTCGGATAGCGTCGTTTCGAGCATTGGCAA